AACTATGAGTATTATTCTTGCGTTTACGTTGTAGTTTATTTCAGAGTTTCAATAAAAAATTTTCTATGAAATGATATTTCTAATATTATTATTATCAAAATTAAGATTTTTTAATAATTTATTTTTCATTTTAATTTTCAGGTGTATTTTCAAATTTAAAATTTAACAATTTTGAAGATAATGAAGGGGATTCACTGGCTGAATTTATCAGTTTTTATATGTAGTTTTATATTTCGGTACATTAACGCTGGGTGGCGCCACACGTTTTTCAGTCCTAAGGAGTGCATTTCTCACTTTTTCACTCCTAAGTAGTGCATTTCTCACTTTTATACTGCTCAACGGTAAAAAGACCTACTTCTCATGCTTAACTACCGTCGGTAAAAGAGCCCTTTTTGGGCTTGAGCAATGAAAATAATATATTAAAATCAATCGGAGAATGAATGTTTCATTGAGTTTTCTGTGAAATCCAAAATTTCACGATTGTTTCTCCGTCTAAATTGAATTCAATATTACTCCGCTGGAAATTATTCGGCAACTGTCCTGAAATTGCAATTTTTTTCTGACAGTGTAAAGGGAGCAAGTCAATTTGGCTCGAAAACAAAATTATTGTGGAAATATCTGATTGATCGAATCACCTGAAATTATCATCCCCCGCTAAACAGTACAGAAACTGCTGCCACTTTGGTAGACACAGCTCCGTTTGCGTTTGCCTCTCCATCGTCGACGGTTTACAGGTGACCGCCGCTGAGATTGAATATCCCGAATCCATACCGAAGGCAGGTGTTTCCTGCAGGAAATTCGTCAATTCATTCGTCAATGAAGAAATATCCAGAAATTTAACGTAACTCGTTAAAAATTTCAAGCTTCTTCACTTGAAATTTCATGATTAATTTTCTAACCGTGTGCTTGAAAATTGAAAAATTTTGTGTTCAGGTTTTCTATCAGGACTCGAGAACAATGAGCCTCTCCTCCCCCCTTCCCCCCTCAAGAAAAACCGTCGGAACACCTTAAGAGAGTAGTCTTCGCCCTGTAAACTGTTTCTAAATCGAAAAAAGTGTAAACACTTGTTGAATAGACCCCTACGTTATAGATTGGATAGAGCATCGATCCTCGCCGTCTTGCAGTATTCTCCTCAGGATGGACCGCTTGAGGACTGTAGGGCGTCATTGTCCCCAGGTTATCCCCGTAATTCCTCTCATTGTCGTCCCACTCCACCCACTCGCTCTGGTCAAGCGGTATCTCCCCACTTCCCACTTTCGTGAAATAGTGGACTCCGGCGAACTCAAGGAGCGTCGCGATGCAGTAGAAAAAGCTCATGAGCAAAAACCAATCGAGTGCTGTTGCGTAACGCACTTTCGGCAGATCCGTTCTTGAGTCTAGACTGATTGTCGAGAGCGTCAGGACAGTTGTTATTCCTCGAGAGATAAGACAAAGGTCAATGAATTATTGACTATTTTACAGGGAGAATCATCGAATTACGTTACGAAAAAATTTCATTGAAAAATCTAGTACATTTGCTACAAAATTATGAGATTTTTGTTGAACTTTCTGTCAGTTTTTGGCGAATTCTATTTTCAGATTTTATCCATAGAAATTCTTCAACCCAAATTTTCAATTTTTTTTTGTTTTATTTTTTAATGAAATGAGAAGAAGAATAGAGTACACTGAGAGAAAAAATAAGCTCTGCGGAAAACTATGTATTCCGCGTGAGAATATTTGATGGAGTGGAACAGATTGAGAGAAATAACCAAATTGATAGGAGGAAATTTAATATCTTTCACAAAAATTTAATTTTTGTCGTGATCATCAGCAATATTCCTAGAAGAATTCGAACTATTGTACGACAATCATCTGATCTGAGAGAACCCCATGGGTTTATACTATAAAAACAATACATTAACGAAAAAAGTATGTTTTTTTCCTAAAAAAATGGTCCCCTCGAAATTATTCAGTTTCCTTTTGAAATTATCATTTGTTCCATGAAAATGATGAACGTTTACTGGGAAATTCATGTCAAAAGATACCTACAGAAAATGTCTCGAAAAAAATGTACAAAAAGTGCACAATAAAATTCTCCTGATTTTTTTCTATGAAATTTTTTGGTGCGGGATTTTTTTATTGCAGAATTATTTACCGAGACCAACTCGATCGCTGGTTGCTTCGCGATGAATCCAGAAGGACACCCAACTCAGCACGACAATGAGAACACAGGGAACGTACACCTGGGAGATTTTTGAACGATTATTATTGACGGGGGTGACTCAATCATGCTAATAATGACCCACTTGAATCAAGAAATATCCGGTATTCCGCTGTAAATTGAAGGAGACTTGGAGCACCGAGAATTCCCCCTCACGTCTCACAAACGTGAGGTTTCTGTAGGGTGAGCCCATTAGATCAAACTGTGACAGTGCCATACCAGGCACGAAATCCACAGAGGGTCCCTCCTGCCATTCATAAACCAACTGTCTCGTGGTGTAGGCGTCTGTAAAAAATTATTCATGATCGAGCCTCCCGTATTTCAAGATTTTTATATCCTTTGGTGGTAAGAAAAAATTTCAACACATGCAGTTGATGTCTTATTATACCATATGTTGTGCTATGAGAAATGCCACTGGTAGAAATTTGAAGAATAGCTCGATGGGAATTCGAATTCAATTTTAGATCAAATCGTTCAGGGATTTTTTTCATCTTGGAAATTCGATTGAGGTGATTTTTTTATGATAACATCTTATATTGAATTTATATTTTTTCATGAGAATTTTATTGGAATTGCTTGCATAAATATTCTTGAAAAAAATTTTTTTCATTTTTTTTTCTGCGCGGATGAAAAAAATTAAGAGAAAACGCCAGCGAATTCGCTAGAAAATTCTATTGACCTTTTGCTATTCAATGTTTTATATCGAAAATTTCAATAGAATTTTCTAACGAATTCGCTGGGTTTTCTATTAAATTTTTCCGTGCGTGTGAAATTTTCTCGATTGGATGGAGAAATTATGAGATTATCTCACAGTTTTGACACTACGGATAAGAGAATCTGAACGCAATGCAGTGAAAATGATGATCGATTTTTTCACTTTGAACAAATAATATTAGTATTCAAATACAAAATTTCTCATATCAGTAAAAAGAAGCTGTGGCTCAATATTACAAATTAAGTTTTGGTTATTAATTTTGTGATGAGATGAACAACAGATTGATTGAATTACCGTGTGAACTAACTAAAAATTGATAACAGTGCGGGCACGCAACAAACATGAATTGAATTCAGCAGCGAAGTGTTAAAACGGTCTCAGTCGACTTATCTCCCAGTTTTTGAGAGATATTTCAGAATCCAAGGGAGATAGCGAAATTTTCGCAACTACATTTGTTGTAGCGCTCAATCGGCTCTGCAAAAAAGATCTTACCAAAAATTTTGGTATCTCCCTCAGATCCCACGATATCAATTAAAAACCGCCCGACAGTCCAAGTTGACTCGCACCGTTTTGCCACTTCGCTACTGAATTGCAATTACGATCAACTCCATGATGACTTACAACTGCCGAGTATGAGAGGACAGGACTGCCGATCCATCGGGAAATTCCTCAGCTCCATCGGACACTTGGCCTTTATCGTCAATCTGCATTCATTTAATTTTATTCGTCTCTCTCTTTTTGAATAAAAACGTGCGAATGTATCTGAAGTAAAGAGAGCCTTGAACAGTAAAACCGTACCTCATGGAGTAGAGAATGTCACCGTCCTGGGATATTCGTAACAGCTTATTCGGCACTGTTATAGTGTGAACATAACTGTGCTTTCCATTGTAGAAGTACGTGTCAGGGCGCCATATCCTTTCGAGCATCTTGATACTCAAACTCAAGGACTTTATCGGTCCCAAGAAGCTCAAACGTGAGTCCCTCCAGTACTGACGGAAATAGCAGTCCATCGAGTAGTCCTGGGGGATTTTATTTTAACACCATCGGAAAAGGAAAATGTCAACTTCTGCCCCACAATTTCATCTCCTTTGTGCTATCCTACTTACCATATCTAGCTCGGAAACTGGTCCCATGCTTCGTATCAGAATATTTGTCTTCACGACGGTTGGAATCCCTGAAAGATTAAGAGGAAGACTTGGCCGACGCGACGGGGTCATTATTGAGGGAAAGAAAAAACGAAAGAAATGCAACTTTGTGATAAAGCCTAAAATCCTATTCTGTCTTAATTCCTTAAAAAATATTCATAAATAAATAAATATGTATATATGTTTTTCAATAAATAATTATGACTTATAATTCCCTGTCGTATAATTCCCTATAGATAGGGAAATATATTCTTTCAATCATTCCTATTGAAAACACTAGAAGATAATAATAGTGAGAATCTACAGACACGATTTCCATGTCCCTCATTTGTTCCCGCACCGTCCCTTCGATCGAGCCTAGAGTACACAGTGGAAAAAAAATTGCCAAAAGAACTGGGTGCCAAAAATCACAGAAAAGTTCCGCAAAATGAAAGCACATTACAACAAACAGAGAAGGCCGGGAATTTGAAAGGGAAAACGCAATTTGAGAGTGAGCCCCCAGTGGTCAGACCGCTGGACATCATCCAACTTCCCACGTCCCCAGTGGATTGAGAGCCAGAGGTTGGACACTTTCGTGATTTTCCATATTCAGTTATAACAGGGGAATGGGTAGAGTTGGAAATGGAGAAGGGGCGGATGAAAATAAAAAAAAACACGAAATGAATATGTTTCTCTTCTTCTGGAGGTGGGTAAGCATCTGGAGCGAAAAGGGAATCAGGAAGGTGGGCCGGATGTCGATCTGATGCCGCGTGTGTGCTATCGGCTTGCAAGGACGAGCGAAAAAGGAATATTATTTTCATTCTTTTTTATTCCTTCTTCACTTCCGTGATCTGGAGGAAATCGCTCCGCTTGAATACGTTATTGCGCTTTGTATCAGACAAATCGATATAGTATTTACGCCCGTACCACACGGAGAGGAAAAGTCAATGAAATAAATTACCAGAATAAAAACGGAAAAATTACGTTTCGAGAATTTTTGAACGTTCAAGAGTTTTTGATTTTGGAGGCACAATAAGCCGGGGTTCATGTAAGATTTTACTTCTTCGGGAAAAATTACGTGACAATTTCGTACTTTGTTCGGTGATGAACCTGAAAATTCACTGAACGTTTCAGATTTCTTCTCTTCCATTCCTATAAAAATTGCCGGAAAACGATTCCCCATTACGGATTACGTGAATTGTTCCGTAATTTTTACTGAATATTTCTGTCTGTGCAATCAGAAAAAAGTAGAGATATTGAGACTCCTCTTTTTAATACACTTTCTTTGGTGAAATTCAATGGATTTTACGGGGGTACCAGGTTGCGTCATTAAGGGATGAGAGAGGATGAATGGAAATTTTATCGATAAAGAGATTTTCCAGTGCATGTGGAGAGTGGTAAATCGTTCTTTGCGATTTTTTTTCGTTCGCTGGGTGTGGGAAATAATTTGGCACTAACAGTCCTTCAATTTTTAGCTTTTTTTTAATTCTTTGATTTACCCCGGATACCATTAGCGGAAAAATTGGGAAATTCAATGGCTCTTTGCGCTGTTAAAAAATTAGTGTTAAAAGTTTCGACGAAATTTTTTTAAAGAAATTGTACATTTCACGCGCGAAAAATTTTTTTGAGGAAAACTAGGGATTTGGATGGAAAATTCTATTGTATTTCTATGGAACTTCTGCTGGAAATTCCAGGAGGAACTATTTTATAGAAAAAAATAATAGCATTTTATATTTTTATACCACTTGTTTTGAAAGCGAAAAGCATCAATTTTAATTAATTATTCAAAATGAATAAGAAATTTCGTTAACGTCGTAATTAAATTCAATTCAATTTTAATTCACAACATTAAAAATTCATCCGCAATTGTTTCTCCAATTTCAATGAAATATTTGACTAAATTCGTTAAATTCCTAACAGCAGATTCTGAAAATCATTGTTTGGAAAGCGAAAAGCCCCGATTCAAATTCTGTATTCAAAATGAATAAGAAATTCCGTCAACAATGTACTCAAATTCAATTTACGTCACTTCAATTCTAATTCACAACAAAATGAAAATGAAAATTCATATGTAATTGTTACTTAAATTTCATTCGTCGTTTATTTTTTATTAATTTGTGGACAAGGCACAATTTTACGAAGATGTACCTTTTCCATGAGTTGGCAGCTGACTGTTCTCGTAGTTCATCAATAGATTCTCCAGGACCATTGTTATATTCCTGGATACCACATCGTTGACTGTCCCTCTGGTGCTTCTCTCCAATGAGCTGAGTTCCACAGAGGCTGGTAGCAGATGGTGAATTGTGTGATTACGACTGCTCCAGCATTTACCCAAGCTGATGAGTCCCACTATAACACTGATCGTGAGATGGAGCATTTCGTACGTATCAATTACTGCTCTGGATTTCCTCAATTTCGCGGATAGATTGATATAGATTGATTATAGATTGAAATTAGGGGTGGAATGAAGGAAATGTAAGAGTTTTTGGGAAATATGTTTTAATCCAGAGGAGATGGGCAATTTTTTATGAGAATATTTCCCTTGAATATGCCGCTGTCTCCCATGGAGTCAGGGATATTCATAGAAACGTATTGATGAGGGGAATTTATATTAAAATTAATGCCTGAGTTTCTAGTAAAAAATGCTACGATTCTAGTAAAATTGTAATGTGTAAGGGGAAAATTCCGCAAAAGTTTGAATTCTTCACTAGAACCATCGAATTTTTTGCAAGAGCTGCGGTAAAAATTCCCCAAATCCGACACTGGTTAAACACACGAAGGGAAATGTTCAGTAAAAATTACGGAACTCACAATTCGCTCACCGATTACGGAATCGACTCGGAAAATTTACGTGACGGTATCGCAATTTTTCACAGACGATTCAGATGAAAATTACGGAACGCCCTGGTAAAATTCCGTGACAGTTCCAAACAAAATTTCCTACAACTACATTTCGCTCCGGAATTACGGAAAAGACACGTAATTTTTATTGAGTGAAGTCTCCGTGCATCCCTAAATTTTTTGCCCGTGATGCAATAAAATATGATAACAATAAAAGAAAAGAAAGAGAAAACGGGAGATTAATTATAGGTGAAACGTCCGAAATGCCAAAAAATTATTTTCTCCATTTTGTCACTGAACTGTTGGTAACTTTCTTGAATCCAATGTGACAGGAGCATGCCTCAATGTCAGTTATCTATTGAAAAATTCAATGGACCGCGAGCGCACAACACCCATCACATACTCCAGTGAGAAAAGTTATCTCCACAAGGTGGTTTTGGAAACTTGTTTGAGGGAGGAAAAAAATACGGAATGGATCGAGTGGATGAGGATTTAGATAGTTGCACCGTGTGCCGGGGGGTTTTAGAGTGGCTGGAGGCACGCAAGGAACGCAGGATTGTCACCCGGGTGCTGTTCGCATTCCTTGGGGCATGTACATGCACCCTAGCCCATACAGCATGTACCAGTCAGTTACTGTTGCCGAGTATATGGATCAACTAGGTGGCAACAAGTATCCATGTGGAATTGTGGGTGGCAAAAGGGATTGGAATTTAGTGAAGCAGAGGAATCGAGGTGAGTTTGTACCACTCGCGTATCGAGGGCGAGATAATTCTACGTGCATTCGGAGAAAAAAAGGAATTTTATCAACTGCTAAATGGAGAGAAATCCTCAGTAAAAATTACGGAGCTCACAGTTCGCTCACCGATTACGGAATCGACTCAGATAATTTAAGTGACGGTATCTTAATTTTTCACAGGAGATTCAGATCAAAATTACGGAACGCTCTGAAAAATTCCGTGACAGCTCCGTAAAATTTCCTACAATTACGGAATTACATTTTATTCTTATTTTCATCTTTATTCTTTTATATTCTTATTTTCGTCCAAATACAAGTATTTGGCACAATCTATGTTATTTTATGCTAGTTTTCTATCTTGTTATTCTGGGAACCCCCTGCGATAATAATACCATGTGTTAAAATGCAGTGTTAAATAAACAAATGAATAAATTTTTATTGAATGTTTCTGTCCCTGATGTAGTTCATTAACAACAGAAATGGAGTATTTGAGTGAAATAATTGGTAATAAAGTGTTATTCACATGAAATGAATAATTTTCAAAGGATAAACAAGTGTTTTCTTGAGCCAAATGGAGATTTTATTAATTGGGATTGAAAGAATTCTTTAGACAATGGAGAGAAGGAATTTATTGAAATATCATAAATATCCTTTATTTGAGTAAAATAAATGGAGTTATTGAAATCTCTCGGGTAATGAAACTTTTAGTCTACCCTAAACTTCATTTTTATTTGCTTTTTACATCCAATGAATAGTTTTTAAAACGTGAATAAATGCCCAATATAAACTTCAGTAATTGGGAATGAAATCATTGTTTAAATGATGGAGAGAGCAAATTTATGAGCATGTAATGAGTTTTTATTCGAATCAAATAAACTGTTCATCCGATTACAAACAATAAAGGATTCGTTTGGCATGAATTAATTAATTATTTTACATTTCACAAATTCCCAACAAAAATACTGCTAAAATAAATACAAAATTTTCAAATAAAATCCCGTGAGAAGTCTCAGCCAAAAGAAATTGTTCGTGAATGGAACTGAGTGAAGTATTTCCGTCCCGAAATGCCGGCTGTGGTGACCACTCGCGGAGCAAGAAGAAAAAAAAATTGTCTCAAAGGAGTCAATTGATGGGAAAGTCGAATCGGCCATCGCTCTCAAATATCAAAGGGATTCAAAATGAAATTCTTCTCCCCAGGAGCCACCGGAAGACGAAGAAAAATGAGACCGAACGGTGGGAGTGAAAGCCCTCGAGAAATCCAACCCAACTCTTAATTACTGAGCATAAAGGCATCAAAAAAGTTTATGAATAAATCATACCATGTGAGAACCCTTCAATCACTTCGTCCTGCACGATGAAATGAATTTGCGGGTAAAAACAGTAACAAGGAAATGTAACAAGGAGAATTGTCATTCTGGCGATGGAAATGAGGAGTGACTTGAACTTGCAATTTAATAAATTGAATTTACCCTTTGAATTCCGCTCCCCTCAATCGATTTTGGGGGCGTACGGAGAAATAATGTAAGGAAGCAGATCGAAAGGGTTTGAGAAACCATTTTTTCCCCGTCTCGAGTCGTGCCAAGAGGTGTACCGAGAATAAAGTGAACGAAGAGAGGAGGAAAAAAGGCTTCTCGGTATCGCTGACACAGCATCATGGATCCATGAAAAGGGCTAGTGTCGCAAATGTTTCAAGTGGAATCTTTACACCCCGGTTACATCACATTTTTAACCGATTATGTGTGCATTTAGATTTTTTTCTCCCCCGAGATTTTGTTGTTGTCCCCGTTTATTCGAGCTTGTTTGGGGGTGGAAAGCCCTGCCGTGCACTTTTTCCGGAAGACTGGAGAGAAAAATTGAAGAGAATAAAATAATTCTTGCTGTAAAGGCATCAAGTGTATTGTTCTGAGGGACGCGAGCTCGAATTTCAATCTGATGGTAGAAATATTTTCATTTGTGCCTGAAAAATTACTGCTAATGCGAAGTATTCGGTCTCGTGAATGTCATTGGGAGAGAGGAATAGCTGAGACGTGAAGAGCTGGGGCGGAATGGAAGGAATCGGGAGGAATAAAAAAACAATGGGGGGTAAAGGGATGAGGAGGGGGAGGAAAAAAGCGGCCAGTGAACACGAGACTCCGCTTTTCCTGCATTTGGAGAGTTAGAGGATCGTAAACGGCTTTCGGTGATATAGAGTACGTGACGGACTTGGGAAAAAAATGAAATAGATAATGGGATACCATGTATTGGGGTCAAACATGAGTGATGGCGTGGCGAAGAACGCGGTGGAGCGAGCGACACATTTAAAAATTTATAATGAAATTTATAGGCTGGGCTCGATACGTAAAACATTGGGGGTTCAGGGGGATTTTTGTATTGCCTGGGCTGTGAATGGAAGAACAGAGATTTTTGTTGAATGTCGTTGAGGGGAGAATGTTCATGTTGAAAATGAGGAATTAGTCACTGGATTGAGATTATTTCATTCATTTTATTAGTTCATGTCAATTAAAAATTTATGGGGATTTTTTAAATTGGACGTTGGATGAAAAATAATCCATGAAATTGAGAGATTGAGACGTGCATTGAAGACATTACGTGTGTGGGGATTTCTATTGAAGTCTTATTAGTCTTCTTGCGCTAATTTCTTGTGCAATTTTTAGATAAATAAATAAAATAACTCAATTCTACTTCAATAACTCAATTTCCGGAGAATAAATTTCACAATTGATGTTCGCTGTATTTTTCTGCGCTTCTCGTTACAAAATCTAAGGATTTGGAAAATTCATGTCTAAGAATTTTAATTTAAAAAATCTTAATACACTGTTCGAAAAAATGAAATGAATTCTTTATGGACAGTTGAGTAGCAGTTTTTAGGAACAATGCCATTAAATTCAATTCAGGGGAAAAAACCCTGAATTTTCAAATTTCACTTAAAGTCCAGTAGAATTCCGTGCGTTTGAGCAGCCGCAAAACGACAATACCCCAGCGCGCTACTTTTGAATACCCTAAAAATCCAAAATGAGGAATTAGTCACTGGATTGAGATTATTTCATTCATTTTATTAGTTCATGTCAATTAAAAATTTATGGGGATTTTTTAAATTGGACGTTGGATGGAAAATAATCCATGAAATTGAGAGATTGAGACGTGCATTGAAGACATTACGTGTGTGGGGAATTCTATTGAAGTCTTATTAGTCTTCTTGCGCTAATATCTTGTGCAATTTTTAGATAAATGAATAAAATAACTTAATTCTACTTCAATAACTCAATTTCCGGAGAATAAATTTCACAATTGATGTTCGCTGTATTTTTCTGCGCTTCTCGTTACAAAATCTAAGGATTTGGAAAATTCATGTCTAAGAATTTTAATTTAAAAAATCTTAATACACTGTTCGAAAAAATGAAATGAATTCTTTATGGACAGTTGAGTAGCAGTTTTTAGGAACAATGCCATTAAATTCAATTCAGGGGAAAAAACCCTGAATTTTCAAATTTCACTTAAAATCCAGTAGAATTCCGTGCGTTTGAGCAGCCGCAAAACGACAATACCCCAGCGCGCTACTTTTCAATACCCTAAAAATCCGAAAATCCATTTCCCTCGATTTAATTAATTTCTATCAGTTCCCATCGCCCAATTGACCCGAAATATCCTGTTTCCCCTGATTATTCCATCAAACCGTGAATTTTCAATTGAAAAATCCCCTGAAACTCCAGTGGAACTGTCGCTCGGCAAAAAATTCCCGAGACATCAGCGAAAAATCTTCAACAGTGGAGGGAAAGTTTCGCAGAAAAATCAGCAATAATTGATCGACGCGAAAAACGCCAAATAATTTAATACGTGACAAGAGACTTCTAGGGGAATCCCTTGAAATTTTCTATCACCAGTCACTTCACCAAGAAAATATATAAATACACCGGAAAATGTGGATCGAGTCCTCTCAACCCTCGAGATACGGAATCCACCTCCGGGATAGATTTGATTCATTCAACAATTCCTGCAACTCCTTACGTCGATTACGTTTCGATTGGTGGAATCTTTCGCAAATAACAGACGCTGGAGAATCGCATTCCATGTGAGAGAACGTAACGACGAGTGGTACAAAAGTGATGGCTGGGAGGGAGGGGCAGAGGGGGAAAGAGAGGGCAGGGGTTGTTGAGTACGGAGCTTTATATCGGTGCCTCTTCTCGCAGTCTGCACGGTTCGCGGGGGAGTGAAAAACGCCGGCGGGAGCCATCCCAACACACCGGACGACCTACATCCTCTCGAACTTTCCACTCTTTTTTTATTTTCAAATTTTTTTTGCCCCCCC